GCATATTATATCTAAATATAATGCTACTCAAAAACACTAAAACTAAAACTGAAACTCAGAAAAACTAAACTACAACTAAGCATTTCCAACCAAAAGGAAAACTACACTAAAACAAGCAAACCCAATGCCTGCTCTACACAGCGTCTATCTTCAGGGCAGTTGTTTGAATTGCTATAAGCTTTTTTTGTCTCAAGCGTCAAGAAAGACAGGAAATTCAATGTACCGAAGGCTACACAACTTTATACTGTTTTTTTAAGATGAGGAATTATGTTATGTTGCGTGTGGATACAAAACTGGGATTGAACCAGTGTTACCAAGAAAGAGAAAACACACAATAGAGATCTATCAGTGATGGGCTGGCCTCCCCACAGTCTGGACTGCAACACTGTATTGACAAGTATTGACTTTCAAGCTTGTTAGAATTATGCAAACTCTGTTTTTGCCTCATATACTTTATTTCTGCGTACTTTTGCACATTTAGCAAGAAATCCATTTCACATTTTTAAAGTTAATATAAAGAACTGATGATACAAAACTGTTTATGTAGAATACAGTGGGTACTCTAATATGAAGGTACAATGAAAGCCAAGCAGCAGACACTGGTATAGTGTAAAACCAATATAATATACTGTTATATGTATATTTTTAAAGAAACTATTGCTGCAGTTTAGATTACATTAGGTATACTGTAAAAATAACTGCACAATAACCTTTTTGTTGCCAGCAGTTTTCCGCCAGCAGTGTAACAAGTAGTACTTGTTACACTGTATGCCACTTTTAAGAAAGCAAGTGACGCCAGCAACTTTGCTGTGCAGCATCAGCTGTTAATGTTGCACTCCCGCCGGCCTGGAATCCCCATAATGCAATATGCAATTATTGTCAATTTTTATACATTTACTATCTGCTTGTCATTGACATTCCAATACCGCAACAGTGTATTGTAAGTTGCTTGTTGTGTCTACCAAGAAAAACCTAGCTACGTCAAGATATTTGCAACAAAAGTATGAAATAACAAAAGCTGAATAACTGACGTTTTACACACACAGACACACACACTGTAACATATATGGATTGAGCAGACGTAAAAGTAAAAGAAAACATGCTTCTTCTGTATCACTCATAGTTTCTTACCTCTTATGTTTCTTATGTTAGCTCAGTGTCTTAACCTACATGCTCTCTTGTACATTTAGATGAATGTCACTTACATACCTTGTTTGCTCTACACCCTTGATATAGCCTACTTGTCTTCATGTGGTTTACAAAAGGTGGGTTGGTGGGTGGCCATCTTGTCTGAGATGCAATGCATCCACAGAGGATTCCTTAAATCTGGTGGATATTTGGTCACTTACATAACTCCCACGTAGTTACATCTCATTACTTCCAACAAACAGCCGATTCATATAGAGAGAGGGTCCTGTCCCCCAGAGTCTGCTCTGAATGCCCACAGTGTTATGTATTCCAGATGAATCATGATTCTCACACCGGGGCTTTATTCAGCCAAAAACTGTGTGCTGCTAGCAGCAATCTTTGGTATTAGGAAAGTTACATGTGACAGACATTTGTGAAATAACTGCTATACAATCTGCAAAGCTGAGTCATAATAATTTTAAATTAAATAGATAAGATTTATTGGATTGTTTTAAACAATTCAGCAATTCAGTTGCTGTGTTCAACAATTCAGTGTGTTATTGAGACAAACTAAATGAAGTCATCTTGAATCAACTCTATAACAGTGGATTTTATGCTATAAGAAGCAAAAATGTGCTTTCTTTGTGCAAGCAAATAAAACAGAGTAACTTGTCATGTTAGATACAGAAACCAGTGTAAAATACCATGCCTTTTTGTAAGTCCAATCCAAATATTTTTCATGGTGGTTGAGAGAGTGGGACCATAAGATTTAGTAAAGGGCGTGGGGGTGGGGGGATTTTCCTTAAGTAGGAGCAGACTTTATCACTCTCCTCCTTTCTAGTGGTGGTCCTTCTCACCTCTTTCCTCTCAGGTTAGATGAAGAAGTTCTGTGTCCGCTCTTCCAATTAGATGGAGGGAGAAAGTCAAAGAAAGAGATAAAGAAAGAACCAAGTCATTATTCAAGTAAGTGCAACTTTTTATTCGCCTTTTTTGTGAAAACTGCAGTTATTGGAATAACTAGCATCCTACTTTCAGGTGTGTTTGTGTGGATGGGATTTTACTCTTATTGTTTATTTGTAGAGTATAATGTTATAATTTTCTGTGTCTTAATGAGTAGAAAGGGTTCTGGTGTTGATTCTTTCCTTGTTTTATTTACAGTGAAAAGGATTTATAAATAGTAGTTTTTGTGAGTGCAGTGGAAAAACAATAAAAAAAAACATTATTGCTAAATTTTTCCTTTTAGTTTTAATCATGGAATCAAAATGAATTCTATCAGTTTTAGAAATAAAGAATATTTATTAATTCAACCAGCACTGAAGCCCATTTAAAAGCAAGGCTGGACGTATTTTCTTTTGTGGTTTTATGAGTTGTGGGTGACGAGCTTTATGTAACCGTCTGTATAGTGAAAGACATACTGTGTCCCACAGTTCTTACAGTAAAGCTCTGTTACCTGGCCACAT